GGGCATGGGAAAGCTCTGCCACCACCAGCCCGCCGCGGAGCCCCCCCGGCGCAGCCTGAGGAAGGCAGGGGGCGGCGCGGCACTGCCGGGGACCCCGCTGCTCCTCTTCCTCCTCGCCTTCTCCATGTCTGCTTGCAAAGGTGAGGAGCATCTCCCTCGCAGCCCCTTCCTGCGCCGCCAGCCCTGACCTGCAGTATATATTTGGGGGTGGGAGGAGAGGTGACCCCAGCAGCCTGCCAGCCTTGCGAGGGGAGCTCGCCGCCGGGCTGCCACCGCCTCGCCATCGGGCTGGGCTGGCACCAGATGCGGGGCTGGGATCAGATGCGGGGCTGGGACCAAGGAGATGCGCAGGAGGTTGCAGCTACTGGGCACGGTTTCGGGGGTAGGTTTTGAGGGGCTTCTTCGGGCAGCCCGGCAGGATTACCCTGTCCTGGAAAAAAATACCCTCTAACAACTTGGGAAGTGGTTTTTGTTAAAAGTGATTTCATTTTGAATATCGTGTACTCTGATTTAAAAGAAAAGAGAAACAAAATGTGTTACAGAATTGTAGGACAATTGGGGACCCTCTGGAATTTGCTTAGTCCAACCCGAAGCAGTATTTCTTGCATGAGGAATCCCTGAAGGTAGGGTTAAATTGGAAAGGATAGAGCTGCTAAGCTGCTTACCTAAAGCAGAGGTAAAATTTGAGCTCGGATACCTAAATTTAACCTGAAATGTTGTCCTACACCTAAAAATTGCTATTTTTGTAACAGGGAGTGCTTGTGAAACAAGCACAGCTAAAGGGCTGTTTTGTTTGTATTATATGTATGAGTATGAGTTGCTTTCATCAGGAAATTTTGTGCTCATTTGTTCTGTTTTTATTGTTGTTGTTGTTTGTTGTTGTTTGTTTGTTTGTTTTGGTTGGTTGGTTGGTTTTTTTTAATATCAAGAATCAAAGAAATCCAGGTAGAGTATACTTAATAGTCTGTTAAAAATAAATTCTGGAGATGTGGAAGAGAGGAAGGAAGGAAAAGGAGGGCAAGAAAGGGCAATAGAACACAGTATATCACCCATCGTTGCCAGGAGCTTCTGTAGAGAGAGTAGTTGAGGGAAGAAAATGTGTAAGAAATGAATTCCAGGTTGAAAAGTGACTCAAACTGTACATCTGGCATTCTGCTGCCTTGGAAAAGTTGAGGGTTTAGAAGGTGGCAGAATTGAAGGATAAGAGAACAAATGTGTCATCGACACTATTGATTTTGTAGGATTTCCTCCTCCATGTTCATCCATTGATCGTTTTCAATAGCACTCTTTTTTTTTTTTTTTTTTTTTCTTCTCTCCTCTATGGTTATTTTGTGTGTAGTACAAAATAACTTCTTGGTTCCCTGTGAGTGCTGTTGTGTATGTGTAAATGAGGGAAGTCCTGTAGGGACTGCAGCCCTGTTCTTCCTGGGGTGATGGAGAGATGCTGCTCAGCGTTGCGGGGGGCACATAGTCCTGGGTGTGAGCACAAATCAGGTGGGACTGCACATGACATAACAGTTTTGTGAAAAAGTGGAGAAGGGTTAAGGAAATTTAGGAGATGGTGAAATAATTTCATCCCCTCTGTCCAGGAGTTTATGCTCCAAGGAAAAAATCCAGCTAATCAACCAACTAAAAAAAAACTGCCAAAAAGCACACTGTAATATTCAGGCTTTCTTGCCTGCTGCCCTAAGCTTTACAGGCCATTGGATTTCTTCTGTTCCCACTAGAAAGCCTTGGGAATGAGGCAATGGCACAAGCAGCGTTCAGAGTCAGGCAGCAAAAGGTTTAATGAGGAAGATGTGTTAATTTGAAGTGTTGCTCAAGTCTGCTCTTCCCAACCAGGATACCATTCTCAAGCAATGCTCCAATTTGAATACACTAATTTAAGAATAGAAAACAAAGTAAGAGAATTGTAGTACCTTTAATTTAACTGTCATTTTTATTTGAACTAAAACAAACATCCAAAAAGACAAACTTTTCATTGGAAAGTGGTTTTCTTGCTAGGTGAAGATCTCAGATATTTAAAAAATATCCCACTTGTACATAGTGTGAAATGAAAAACCTTTCTAAATCTTTTTTTGGGGGGAAAAGAAGCATCCAAAATAATTTGTCACCTTAAGTCTGTGCCAGTCTCAAAATGTGGTTTTCTACCCCTTAATGACTAGAGCTAACTAGTGTTGTAATTATTGTTGTTATTGGTACATGTAAAACAAACGGAGATGACAAGCAATCATACCCCACTCACCTGGTGATTCTAGCTAAATCTACCTTCACTTCTTTTTTGTTTAAGTTGGTTCAAGTCTTCGGACAAAAATGTGACCACAGGCAATTTCAGACTGTCTGGGAGGTTGTAAAATCTCTGTTAATCTGAGATCTTTAAAAACGGTGTATAAACTGGTTAGGAATGGCTCATGAGCAGTAGCTTTGGGCAGGGAGATAAATTAAATTACTTCATAGGGTTTCCCACACTGCTAGGACTGTACAGATAAAACATCACCCTCTCCACCACCAATCTCCCTCCCATGTGAATTACAACAGAACCCCTCACTGACATGCTTGTGTGGTGTCCAGTATGCTCACAATTCAGTGAAGCTCATTTCTATTATATACAGAGACTCTAATCATACATTGCTGTTAGAAATACACTGCCAAATAAAATAACAATGCAGAAAGGTGGATATTCTGGGCGCTGAGTTTGAAGGGACCTAGAGGCAGTGACTTTCAGGTCTGCAGCCTTGGTGGGTAGAGATGAAGAAGGAAGCTGCCCCAAAGCAAAGCATGGCATCACTGTACCACCGTGCAATTAATAACGCTTTTAATCTTCTAAGGATTGAGCTTTTCCACATCACATACACCGATCAGAAAAAACAAAGCCCAAAGTACACATGTACTGCCTATCACCTTCTCAAAAACACCACATTCATATCACAGGCATTATTCATACACAAGCATACATAGCACATGTTCAATTCTTTAATTGTAACATACAAAAAAGCAAGAGGAAGAAACCAGATTCTCAGCTTGTGCTGTGTGTGCTGGAGGTGAGCTGAGTTCTCAGAAAGCCCAAAGTTGCAGGCACTGGAATGTGTTTTCCTGAGCATGTCTTAGCTTTCAAGAGCTGCGGTGCAAATTTTCTTGCCTGCTCCTTACCACTGAGAACTAATGCTAGCCTGACCCTCGGTGAAACTCGAGCAGCTTCCCCACCGTTCATTGCTAAGGGATGTGAGTGCTCGTGTCTGCTGCGAACTTGTGAAGAAGCCTCCTGCTGTGGTGCTAACATAGAGCAGGCAGAAACTGCTGGACAAGCCTCACAACACCCAGGGCAGCGGAATTCTCTGGACCACGCAGCTCTCAGACTCTGCAGTCAGTAAATGTGCTAGATATCTTGTGTTCAGAGTTTTTATTTACATCACTGTCATGGGATGCTTATCCAAATGACCTTTGCCATACAGCATTGCTAAGCATGCTCTGTGCTTCCAGGTGTACCGATGCCATTCCAAGCACTTGACACAGATGAGGATTTGCAGCTGTGGAAAGAGGTAAGCATCATCTGCCATACAGTGTATGACCATTTCTTCTGGGCCCATGCTGGCTACAGTCACGCCTCACTCTCCAGTATTTCTCTTGCATGGAGTTCAGGTGCTTCTTCTTCCAGTTCTGTCCTGACATCAGCAAAGAGGTGAAACATCTTATTTTGCAGATTTTCTGGACACTTGTTCCTGGGGGATGTTGTGGCTGAGTATTGAAATGTCATTCTGAAAAAAGACTGTCTTGGCTCAGTGGAGAGCTATGTTTGATAACAGTTGTCATTTAACTGTCAATAACCAGGCAGCCACTATCCCTGGACGCAACACAGTGTCCTGTCTGGTAGACTTAGTGTCCATGCCTGACGCACAGGAAGTGTACTGTGCCAGTCAGCACCTCTCACGCTTCGCTACTGATCGCTGTCATAACCTCCACTGTTGTCTTTGAAATGAACATCTGTTTTGACTCTAGGATGTGACGTGTGTTCACACAAGCTCTTCCCTGACCTTTTAGAGTAGATGGAGCAGCAGGCCATAACACCCAGAGAGGGTTTAGTCTGCAACTTGCATGCGCTGGTGTTGCTGTAACCTTCAAGTACTCTGTTGACATTTAATTTTGTAACTTCTGATACCATTAAAAATCAAGTGATTCACCAGGGGTACAGATGCAGAGAGTAAACTTCTACCTGTTGTGGACGTTGCAAGAGACACTTCCCTTACTGTCACCTCCCCTTAGTTCATTTTGGAAGTGTTGACTCGAATGCCAACAGATTTCTAGACTGGCACTTGAACTAGCCCTGGTGATACTTATCTCCTGGGAAAAAGTGGGCTTTTGGGAAGTAAGGTCCTGATAGCTTTATGGACTTCATAAAAATTAGTTATTTACATTCTGGACTGAAACATGCAGTTTTATAAAGTTCTGCATTTATTGCTAAGATTTTCTAGTTGTAATACAGGATTTGTTCCTATGCCAACTATAGACACAAGCAAAGTTTCCATTGATTTCAGTGGACAAAAAAGTATGCATAAGATGCTAAATTCCATGTAAAATTATGTAGCAAGCAGTATAAAATTTAATGTTATAACAAGAATAATGCAGGACTGGAGGGGGTCTATGGAAAGACAATTAGATGCACAGGTATGTAACCTAAATGAGCCTGATGACAGAATCATACTAGCTCACCAGAGTTTCTTAGAGTGAAGGAATCAGTTCTTCTGTGTTTGTTACTTCACCAGTGCATTGTTCAGGACAAGCTCTGCCTCTAAATTAACCCAGTAATGAGTCTGAATTTATAAATATGGGAATTTTGTAAATAAGTATTATGTCCCTTTATGTGTCTCTCACATCCCCTTGTTTCTTTATATTATTTAGCCAGCCCCAGAAACTGTTAACATTCCTCAGCCCTTGCTTTGTCCCTGCAGGTTTTATCTAAGAAACGCCTTGCCTTGCATTGTGTCTAACACAAAGCAGTCTAAGAGTCACCTCCAACAACAAAACAAGAAAATAAAAAAATCAAACCAAACCAAACCATTCCTCACTAAGAAGAAACAGCCAAGTTTTAATTTGGGCCATGAAAATAACTTCAGTTTATTTTATGTCATTCACTGCTGATTTCTCCCTCTACGTTTTCTTACTCTGAAAGTAGTGAAGCTGAACTAATATACCCGAAGACAAACAACTGCAAGATGAAGGGAGAAGAGAAAGGGGAAGATGTGTTACCAGGGAAAACTATTTGAAAGGGGAATTCTGTGAGCTATTAGCTTTCCCACTATCTCTGCTAATGCTTTCGCTTAGATTGTCTCTAGAGAAACGAATCATCTCTTGTCTTCAAGTACTCAGATAAGCATTACTTGTTTATTGTTTTTTTTTCATTTAATGTTTTCATTGCTAAATAGTGTTGTTTAGGGGTTTTTACCTATAATAAAATCATAAGACCTATTGCTTTGCCTACTCTTTATTTATAATAAAACACTTTTTTTTTTAAATACACTCTATGAACTAGATGATTGGCAGTATCAAATATGAAAAAGAAATGTTGCATACCAATGCAGGTTGCTGTTGATACAATTTTAAAGTTATATAATGAAAAGATAAGCCTCTTTTTCCATTATTATTAAACTGTGCAGCTTCAGCTGGAGTACTGGTGATT